AATGTACCATTTGCGCGGGTCGACACTATGAAAGGTTCGCTTTTTGTTAGGGCACCCACTATCATAAATGAATTTATGTTCGAGATAACAGATTTGGATTTGTTTCACGACTCAATGCGGGATGTTCGGGCTAAAGTAAGACGACATATACAAAACATGTGAGTCCTGGTGTGTACCGCGTGACTGTATTTATTGTGTTATGCATGTACTGTATGGACTGTGTGATAGATATGGTTGGTATATCGAGGGATTGTATGTGTAAGAGACGAAAGACTAAAGGCAATGTTTACACTGCTCCTAACGTATAACTGCTATGGACTGTTACTGGGCGTCAATTCGCCTGTTGTTCCATGACATCGAATAAATAAATAATTGCAACGGACATTGAAAGCTGGCATTGCTCTTTTATAACTGAAAAAAGAAACGGCCACGTAACTATATGAGGCAATATATACAGACAGCCGAGTAAACAGAATCATAGAATCGTGAACTATATAAACTCAATCTTCCTTAATCCTTATGTTCATTCTGAGGACTGTGTAGTGTGTAGCAACCGTTAGAAGTGTTTTTTTTTTTCAAAATTGAGTTTTCGACACAAGTCACCAAGCCTTCGACTCCGTCCTATCAACAACTCCGAATTTCCCTATTGCCAATCCAGGACAGATGGAAAGCTGATTTGATATTTATTGCAACAATGCATCAAACGTTGCTAAGCGATTGAAGCTCGAAACGAATATTTGATCTGATTATCGGATAAATACCAATTCTGCGAGAGAGCGTCCATTAACCCTATTAGTGGCAGGGGGGGTGTTTTTATCCACCCCTCAGGTTTTTCGGGAATATCTCCGAAACCGCTGAAGCTACGATGCTGAAATTTTCTGACTTTTCCTAAAACTAAATTGGGCACATTCCCTGAAAATTTCAAGTTCATAACTTTACCAGGGGCGGCTCCAGAGCACTGGGAATGGGGGGGTCCTATTCGTGAAGCGAGTCATTTGGGCGAAGATCACGATGCTGCACCAGTTTTACGAACAGTGAATGAAAGGTATCATGTGATAACATATACAAAGTTATTGTGCATCCTCTTTTGACACGTTTTTGCTATAATAGGCGGATCCAGGCGTCCAAAAAGGGGGGTTATTTTTTACCTCCCAACATAGGTGCCCTGACACCGCCTATGCATGACCAATACAATTTTAGTCGTTCTCTCATAAGAAAATTGTAACATAACAAGACCATTGCCACCCTTTTTAGAAACAGTACCAACAAAAACCTTATTTACTATACTTTTTGTGTACCCCCAATCTCAATGATCTGTATCCGCCTATGATTTTTGAAAATGCATATTTTTAGGATCCATGTGAATTCCTGGTTCATTCTCTATCGATCGGCAAAAGTTGCGTTAAGATTGGTTCAGAAACCTGGCCGTGATAAACAGTCTAAAATGTATCTGCAATTTGTCCTTTTTCATCCCCCTCTACCCCCCTATTGACATTTTTAATTTTTTTTAGAAATGTAGATCTCGTTGAGCCAAATCGAATGCCGTTTGAATTTTGAAAATCGGCCCGTTAGATCTCGAGATATCAAGGGGGGGTCGTAAACAGACCCCCCCCTGCCACTAATATGGGGTAGCCAGGAGCCTGCCATTAATAGGGTTAATGAGTTTTTAGTTTCCAAAGGGATTTATTGTGATGAGCCAGCCTTATACTTTACTCCAATTAGAAATATAGTTATACTCGTAAACTATACAGTATAAAAATTCACGCCATAATCAGATCTTGTTCAAGTACCAAAGTCCCGGTCCTCACTGACATTCGCTAAGAGCTGGAGACCTTTTGTATCCCCGCAACTCAGTCCCGATACCTGTCCCTTTATATCGGTAACTAACTAGTCAGGTTGAAAAATGAAGCGTAAATAAGCATTTAATTAGGGTGTGAATGCGTCATCAATCAAATTCATCATTTCTTGAATTCGATTCCAATAAGCTTTTCGTCGGTGGCAATCTAATTCGTATATTTGGAAATGCACAGACGATTGAGAATGCCAGTACCGCTTGTAAATATGGCTGGGCCTCCAAGGAATTTACAGTAGACATGCACATTTCCGGTAACCTAGCAAAGCCTGTCGATGAATGATCTAGTTAGCTAACAAGATTGCCAGTCGGAAATTAGCCCGCAGTCAATAGTTACCTAATGGCATTAGACTACGCATAACTACATCGGATATCTGGTAGGTAAGAATTAGCATTGTGAGAGAATCGCATGCGCGGTATTACTGATACAGAGTAGTGGATATTACGAGGTAGAGCTGGTTAGACCATGCGTTAATGAGCCTGCATGTTTTTCTGATCGCCATTCTTCTATAGAGCACGAAAACATGCTCCTGGGTTCCAAATTGACAAGACACTGCTGTTTTTTCTTCGCTCCTTTGAACGAAGGATTCCGGTTGGTAGAAAAAAAATGAGAGCTACGCAGTAAGACACCATAGCTCTTTTCACTGAGGGCAAAAACTAATGGACGGACGTGTCAAACAATTGCACCCAGCGAAATGCGGATAAAGCTGGTAAAATAAACGCGTCACACAGTTATGGGAAACCTGCCATTAGAGCTATCACTAGAGGTCTGCACCGGCCGGCTGCAGCCGCGGCTGGCTGCAGCCCCACGGCTGTGGGCCGGGGCGGCTGCAAATATCTCCAAGAACACGGCTACGGCTGTGGCCACGGCTGTGAGATTTCAAGCTCAATCTTAAGTACTCAAATATAAAATTTTAATTCCTTAATCTTACATTCTAATAAGCAGTCTAGCCTGTAAAAATCATGCAAAGGATGCCCAGCAACATTGAAAGTGGTGAAGCCTTTGAAAACCTGTAATGGTTTTCCCATTTGCTGTAGGGGAGTTTGCACTCTGGTACAGAATACTAATTATAGGTACCAATTGTTCCTTCATCATCAAGAGCTTGGCAGTTGCAGAAAATGCAACATGTTGCATTGTCACATCCCTCTCGAATCAATCTCACCTGGTTATTAGGAGAGCACCTTACAGCTATTGAAGACGAGCGTTCAATAATTCTTTCAGGTAATAGAAAAAGAAATCACGCCTAGGTAAAGGCAGGTAAGGGCTTCATAAAATATTATCTAAAATAACTCTTAGATGTATTTCTGGATTTTCGGCAAGTCCAATTACATAATATAAAACTGGCGCTTTATGTTCTAACTGGTGTGTGAGTGACCGCTAACAGAAAATGCTGATCAACGAAGCCAATGGAATTAGATTTTAAGTGAGCATGAACCTTACTTACGGCTAATTCACATGATGGTGAAACCCTGAACACGTAATTCACATGACGGTGAAAACCCTGAACACAATATTTCTTACGCGAGCTGTTGACTTTACTTATAAAATGACGTCTTCTTCTGAAAATGTAAAAATTTGATACTCAATCTTTGTTTGAGAAAAAGTTTCAACCTGTGTAGCATTATTATTCATTTATCAAAATTTTTATGGCTGTTGATAGTGACACAAAACAATTAATTGCCACTTCTTTGCTATTGACGTCATTTAAATTTCAAGTAAAATTTTTGATTGAAAGAGACAATTGTGGCTCGCACGTCCTTGGGGATTTGAGCGAAGATCATTATTTGGAAAAATCAAAATAGTCAAATCAAATTATCAAATTAATATCAAATTATCAAAAATCAAATTATTTGGAAAAATCAAATAAAAATCAAAATGTTTTTCTTTCTTGGATGCTCACTAGTGTTTTGATGCCTTGCACATCAAATTAGTTTGAGACTTGCTCAGAAGGCTGCTTCAAGCCTGGCGCATATCACACCCCAGAAAATATGCAAGGTAAGAAAGAAGCAAGAGTTTTGACTAGACAATCACTGTTTGACAGTCCATCAACTTCAGTTTCATTTTCCATACCTAACATTGATAATGAAAAGCATCAGGGTCTGTTTTGTCCCACAACCATGCTTCAGGATTTGGCATTAGATGTCTACACTGCTAGTGCTTCTATTCTGGTTCGTTGTTTATGTTTTCTTTTGATGTAGGTACCTACCTACCCATCTTTCCTAACCCCTTGCAAGGGCTTTTGTAGGCATGCGTTGCGTTGCGCATCAGGCTTCTGGCCTTCGGCCTAAAGCCAGATACACAACCACTTAACCTATGATGCTTCATGAGCTTGAGAATCTACAGCCCATTGCAATGTGCTTTTGGCTATATGTTTCAACTAAAAAAAACTTATTATATACTATTTGGTTGCATTTCATTGAAAGTATCCACGGCCGGCTGACGGCTGGCTGCCAACAGTTTACCACGGCTGTGGGCGGCCGTGGCTGTGGAGCCACGGCTGCGGGGCGGCTAGGCTGTGGAAAATTGCAGCCGTGCAGAACTCTAGCTATCACCCATCACAGAACGCATACCACCATGACTATTGTATTAGAATCTCCTCCGTATCAAGTGTCCCAGGAAGTGGGCAGATTGATCCGTTTTGAGCGGCCATTGCGTCCATATTGGAGAGAGATCGGCTCATCTAATGTCGCCCAGAGTATCGTTTGTAGCCAATTCGGGAGCGTCGCGAAGAAAGTAACTCTGAGAATTGCCGTCGGGGCTCGTCGCCGCAGTTCCTGGCGGAGCTGGGAGTGTAATACAAGACCGACATGAGCGGCCTTCAAGAATACATAGTCCTCCCTGAATACTTTGCCCTTATATAGAAACGGTAGAAGACTGGTGAAACTAACGGCAGGATGAAACTGGTGAATAAGCAAGTGAATTTATATTGCGTTTAACAGGTGTACTGATTACGCATGACTTAACCCGTGCGGATACTGATTTGAACGACGTTTCTGCATATTTCGTTCAACTGGCTCCCAAAAATACAATAAGAAGGAAATGTACTGGATAGAAAAACATCGACATAAGCAAGCACAGAGTCACGGGAGCCCGCGCATGAGTGAGTGCTCTGAAAGGTATAAGAGTATCAGAGTAGTCGGTACTCACCTAAGAACTCGGTGTCGGTGATTTTATCCGGTCCGAGCCGCTTCCATTTGCCCTCCTCGGGTTTGTACCGCAGTGAGTAGTAGTGTACCGGTACATCGGGCACCTCTACAGGCGCCGCCCAGGTCAGCAGGTTGCCATGAGACAGACCCTCCATCTTCAGGTCCCGCGCCGGGTTCGGCTTCGGCCCTGCCCGTGACGTCATACGTGAGTCATGACGTCACCCGGTGTTGGTAATGACGTCACGGGGCGGATTGCGTGCGCCGTCCAATTCCGGTAGCGCGTTCCGTGTGGTGAGGCTCGCAATTAACCCGCCAGACCGCCACAGCCGGCCAGTTAATAGTGCGGGCAACTAAGCGGTTCTAAGACCGGACTGCAGCACTATTGTCGACCCAAAGCCCCTTAATCCATTAATCAAACAGACTGCAATCAACCCTGCCAGACAGAGCTGCTGGGATTCTTAGTCTGCCCGGTCACTAGCGAGGCGTCCATAGCAGCAGCAGCAGTGACTGGAGCGGCACGCAACAGGGCCAGGTCACCGAAAAATGACATGACTGACGTGGCCTACTACGGTGCAGTTCCAGCAACACGGGATTAAACATAGCGATGCAAAAGCAAACACGGGACCGAATATCGCGCTGGGGACTGTAGGCATAGCACGGGGGCGGCCTTCGGGGAGGCATGCTGTTACCTTTCGAAACAAAAACGGCGGGGAAGAAGCCGTCGGCGGCGGCGTCAGTCGGCAAAACGCCTGTCGATCAAATAAGCAAACATCTCAACATCAAATAAACTGCGGCGCGGCCCGATAAACGTGCACGTCACCGGCGGCAGCCGATGGCCACTAACACACACCGCGGCTGCATACAGTTGCACGCACGTGCTGACAGACACAGGCAGGTAGCGGGCGGACGGAGCCGCCCCCAGAGAGGAGCGGTGCTGGGGAGGGTAGGTTGGTGAAAGGTGAAGGGCCACGCGCCGGTGGCCGGTGTGTAATGTTTCATTGAGTTAGTGCGTTTGTTATTTCAAAATCGTGTTTGGATGTTAAGAGCGAGAGGAAAAGGAAAAAGTTAGAGAGAGAGAGAGAGAGAGAGAGAGAGAGAGAGAGAGAGAGAGAGAGAGAGAGAGAGAGAGAGAGAGAGAGAGAGAGAGAGAGAGAGAGAGAGAGAGAGAGAGAGAGAGATGAGACAGAAACACAGACAGAGAGACAGAGAGGATGAAGTGAGCGAAGAGGATGGAGAGAAGTAGGAACAGCAGAGGTCGAAGCCGACTCCCAGGACAGTCGGTTAGTCAGGTGCCTTGGGGAGACGTTCGCTGGCGCCGGATGTATTACACGCGGGACTGCGGTCCCCATTGATGTATCGCCCGGGGGACCGCCGGCCGGGTCCCGACCATTGATTGATGCAGGGGAATGCTGATTTGTGCGGGCACAGAGAGACTATTTGGTCCTGTCAGCGAGAGAGACAATGACAGTGTGCTGACAAATGGTGTGATTTGTTATATGGGTATTGCATACGTGAGGATCTTATATCGGGCCAACAAAGACAAAAATATAGAAGCTTATCACAAAACTATTAGTAACGTAGGTAAATGCTAGCGTTTATTGCATGGTAGAAATACTATTTTCTTTTTTCGTCAATCGTGTGGAAAGTGACCGAGGAAATAAGACGGTCATTCCTACTTCTCTACGATCAGGAATGTGGCTCCTCTCGATAAGGTTCGACATGTTTTCCGATGGCGGGCCGAAATATGGGAATTGCCAGCCGAATCTCCATTGTATCCCTAATATAACGGCCAGTTGACGCCACCATTCATCCCAGCACAGATCTTGACATACGACCAGAGCGACATTCAAGTCATAGAGCATCGTGGCTATAGAATAGCTCCAGCGCCTAATGGCGGGCTCTTCGAGCCACCAACATGGCAAATATTTTACATTTATGATGTAAGTTCATCGGCATCCGCCGCCAGCTCAGATGAAGACGAACTTCCTGGGCTATTTATGGGGACAGTCGTAGGGGTTTATGGGCGCCAAAGTTTGTCGTTGAGGGGAGTCAGGCAGCCCGAGTTTCTGATCAGGCGGAATTCTCATATAGCATAGCGCGTGGTTTAATATTGGCGAGCGCGTTCCAATTTCTCCAAACTGGTCAGCCATGAAAGCGGCAATACGTCAAAAACTTCGGTAATGACATCCAGCTCAGAGCTGTCATGGATCTTCTGATTATATGAGTAAGACGATGGACGGGGATTACATTTTCATAAGTTCTTTTCTTTTGTGGATCACATCATCTCCGAACAAATTTTCTCTCATTTATAGCCATCCGATTTGATAAGATTATCATAGCGCATCGCCGCCGTATTTGTATATCTTACTATATAGTTATTTGACGGACCATGCCCAAAAAAATTATACCAGAGTGTTTACGGTATTTTATGAAACAGAGAACTTCGCGGGTTTGCTTGAAATTGCCTCTGAAAGACTCTTTTTACGCGCAAACATCACATTTAATGCAAAAAAAAAACATATCTACATTTAACAAGCAGCGCCGCGCTCTCATCTCTGCAATAACAGCCTCACGCCACCACTTCAACCTGGCTACGGGTCACCAACACATCCTCAAATAGCCTGAGGGTTAGGTACAGCGGACACAGACCAGCAAAAGTCACCCGGGTACTCCGTCCTTCTGCCATGCCTGGAAGGCCTCTCTAAAATTTGCCGGGCCAGTCTCGGGCGCGACTGCTCGCAGCTCCAGTTTCGCTCCGTACCATACCGCTCGGCCTGGGCGGCACGCGGGAGCCCGATTTGGGCCGAGCCCCTGCCTCCAGGCCCCTCCGGGCGCCGCCACTCCAGCGCCCGCCGCCCGACACCGGAGCTGCGGCGCGCGGCGCGACATTTTGGCGGGAAAATGAGCGCCCTCCCAGTGGCCGCGACTCGGATTCCGCGCCGTGGCCTGAGATCGATGGCAGGTCTGGAGGCCAGGCACCAGCGGCGGCGGCGGCGGCGGCGGCGGCGGCGGGGCCGGCGGCGGGCGGTGAGGTGGCACCCGGTGGGTGGTGGTGGTGGTGGGTGGCTGTGGGCTGGGCCGGTCGGTGGGGCAGTGGGTGTTGGATGTGGGCTGGGCCTATGACGGTGTTTGTGGGCGGGTGTGAGTTGGAAAGGTGGTTGTGGTGGTGGTGGTAAGTGGTCGGCAGGGTCAAATTCGAATAAATTTGTTACGAACTATTTTTAAGAATCGGTTACTATGATGAAAACAAATGAAAGAAAAATGGCAAATTTAAATGGTCTAGATCCATTTTCTTGAAGTGAAAATGTAGCTTTGAAGTTAAAAAACGAGCATGTCCATAACATATGAAAGCCTAAAAACATAGCAGCACAACTACGTGCAGACAGAGCGATGGGCGAGTCTCTCAGTACAGTGATTGAGAACCGGACGCCGCCCGCGCTCGTGTATTCCCATAAAGACATACTCGATTCGGAGACGGTGGGCGTCGGGCGGTCCAACTTGGGAGAATGATCGCTTCGGCGGCGGATATGGTAGCCCGGGTAGACATGCGACAAAATATGGCAGCCGATGCGACAAAATATGGCAGCCGATCGGGTCCGGTTGGGTACGGCCGTAAAATTGCCAGGGTGAAATAGGATGGAAGCAATCGCTATGAAATGGGACACGATAGCCGCCGCATTTGTACTGTCTCAATTTGTAGCGTCAGTCGTTCGGCCCGCGAGGCAGACCAGTGTCCTCGTCTGGGATGTTTGTAGAGGCGTGCCCACGACGGATGTATCTTATTGCGATAAGGTCAGATACTTCTTACTAGCTAATTTCCTCTGGCACATGAGCGATCACTCGTTTATGCATCCTCGTCTCCGACAGTATTACATTCCTCTGTCGCATATATTTCCTTTTCGTGCCAACCAGAGCAGAAATATGTCATTCCGAAGGAGCAGCTACGCTGCCAGACAAAAAATCCCTCAGGTCGATCTCGGATTGCCTGGCAGTGGGACTGCCCCTGTGTATGACGTCACCCCCGGCCCCGAGGCACGTCCCGGCGGTTCGGCGGCCCTCGAGGGGCGGTCAGTGGACGGCCATTAGCGCTACCGCCCACGGAGGTGCGAGCCCGTGACCCGCCTGCCGAGCCGGCCACTAAAGCGGTCCGACCGACACGTAATCCCCGAATGGCCAGCAATCATTTCATCCGGCGATGGCCGGTCGGCGACCGACAGTTTACGGGGCGGCTGTGTTGGAGGGCCGGGAAATGAAGGCGGCTCGTGGCGGAGTGGGTGGGTAATGAGAGAAACAGCACCGCCATCAACAAATGACCACACGATACAATACGCAAACAATGGGGTTGACTACAAAACACACACAAAATGGAAATCACATTGTGCACATCAAAACATACAACTCCCAACAAATCCATGCCAAAAAAATTCAAGCACAACACAAAACAAATATGTGCAAAACACAGCAAAATCGCAAAGCACAAGCTCTTGAACAATAACGTACCATCTTTTGCACTACAACATGAAACACACAACATGCAAAAAAAAAACTCGTGCCGTTGTCAATCTGCAGGTACACACTACACATTCCCTTACCGGGTGCCTCCTTCATTGGGGCAGCGGTACCTGCAGTGACACCCACGTCTGGAGGGGGGCGGGGGGGTACGACAAAGGTCAGCCAGGGCCGCTACCGGCGCATCTCTGCTCATTAGTACATGTCAGGTCGCCCCACTATTGTTGTCCCCGGACAATCCGGCCGCGAGATTCTGCAGAAATGACCCGAGGGCCACGCATGGCTGCGCTGCTCCTTAGAAGTAGCAGAGCAATGCATGGGCTGGTACAGAACAATCAGAATCATTAGCGTGGGACGCGAATACTGGCGTAATTAATTTCTTTGATGTTGTTAGCACCATACATGAGGTAAAGATGTGGTGTAGTTAGTTGATTTTCCCAAAGAAAAATGTTCTAATACGATCGATGGAAACTTGAAATAGATCGCCCGTGGACTTGATAGCTAAACGAATTAAACACAAACAGGCTTGAAGTTTTATTTGAGACAATTGTTAATAAAGCGTACGAAAGGCCATATTTACTTTAATGCGAAATATTACATTAAACTAAATGAAATTAAAGATAAGCTACCCGACGTTTCGCTTATATTTGCTTAGTCATGGGCGATCTGCCTCCTCCTTCAGTCATAGATCGCCCATGACTAAGCAAATATAAGCGAAACGTCGGGTAGCTTATCTTTAATTTCATTTAGTTTAATGTAATATTTCGCATTAAAGTAAATATGGCCTTTCGTACGCTTTATTAACAAACAGGCTTATCCTCTTTGAAAGTTCTCAGCCTGAATTTGACTGATATGCCAGCATGTACACCTGCCTAGAGCACCCTAGCGTTTGTTGTATAAAAAATACCGATAACATATGCTATCATAGCATATCATATTCCTGCGCCGTACTTCTTTTATGATTTTATTGCGCCTATTGCTTGGACATTTATTCATTCAGTCCATTTCTTAAGCTTTTTCCTCCAAAAATGATGGCATCTGATGACTTCTTCCGTCTATTATAGTGGGCATTGCTGGTAGGCAATATTTTAAAATAAATAACGAAACGTAAACGTACCAATCGAGTTATAATGTACCATAGACCTCTGTACACGGTGTACAGAGGTCTATGAATGTACATATAGCATCATTCGAGCGTTCACTTTAGCGCCACAAATTAATAGCTTAAGTGGACCAAAGCACGGCGCTCGCTCAGAGCTAATGAAATACCACTTAAAAAGGCTTCCAGCTCCAGCTATTAGCAAAATCAACCATGATAGCATCAAACACTAATTGACACGGCGTGGTTGCATTAACATCACATGCAAGTCGCCGGAACCAGTAGAAGTTCGAGATTTAAATTTCGTTCTTGATAACCGCCGAGTTTACCCAAACATCTATCGTGTTTTCCGAGAATTTCAATACCTGTCTGTTAATCTAATAAAGCTTTCAAAGTGCCTTCAACCACATCAATTGATCCGATGTACGTCTTCTGAAAATTGAATCCACCCAGGAAAGTGTCGGCGACAACATCTCAGGAACTTGTGCGATTTCTAGCGACAAAGCATTGCAAACCGATGAATCCCGAGAAAAGATCTTAATCTCTACGCAGCTCTGGGCCACCCTCTCCCGGTTTAGCCTTCAAATCCCGGGCGTGCACACAGTTCGGCGAGCTCTGCCACTCACCCAGCGTCTTGACGATGACCTTGTCGGAGAACATGCCGTCGCCGAGGTCGTTCTTGGCGGAGACCATCAGCTCGTAGCGCGTGTTGGGCAGCAGCCGGTAGATGGTGACCCGCGAGGCGCCCGGCGGCTCCACCTCGTATGTGTTCCAGTTGGCAGTGCCGTACTGCTGATACCTGCAAAGTACAGGGAAAGGATGTGTCGCAACAGTACTCCGAAGTGTTTCAGCTGAACAGAATAGTCACATACAGGGGTTGATTCCTTATTTTCTGTTTCGCATTGAACAGCCCTGCCCTGCATAGCAATTCCTGATGCATGCATGTTCAACCAAATTTATAGTATACCACTACTGTGAATGTCGGCAGAATATTCTCGATTGTTTTTTTTTGGGTTAGGCCCTTTCGGTCTGACAAGACCATTGCAGAGCCGGAAGGATGATAGGAATTAGGGGGAGACATTGGTCTGGGCGGGCACCCTAGTGAGTCGCCGGGGCTGAGCCCGTCCAGAGGACAGGCCACCCAGCCCCAAGGCACTCACTGCACCCGGCTACGGGGTGCGCTCCCTCGGGAGCAGCGGTGCCGCTCCAAGAGAGCAAGCCCGCATGAGATAAAGTTGCCTGTCCAGCCCGGAGGGGGGTTGCGGCGTGGAGGAGAAGGACTTCTGTATCCTGAGGATAGAAGCACGGAATGGTGTTCCATTTTAGACACATGTGAGCACTTCAGGGCAGTATAAATTGTTTCGATCACACAGCATTACCCGGGCGCTTACTACTGCTGACATCTAGCGGCTGAGTGACGAAACTCTGTCCTGCGGCACAGCATGCGTCAGGCGCTAACTTTGAAAGCCACCTAGCGGTGGGAATGAGAACTACCGAGCCACCGCGATGCGTGCGGCATTTCCGCTTACAGAGGAGTCTCCGTTTCATTATTAGTTAGCCAATTATACTACGAGCGGTTCCAGGTGAAATAAAGCATTCAAGGATGCAAGTGCTAAAAAATACGATGCCGAGTTTTGTCCATGAGCATTGGACGTGATTAGGAAATGTAGGCATTCATGAGTAAGTGTATCATTATGTGTATGCCTCATATGAAGCCACATGTGTTCAAAAGGGTGAAACGACTAAAGAGATAAATGAATAAGGCACCAAAGTCAACAAAAAAGTGCGAAAAAGCTTATTGGAAATCTATATATCTGGATCCATAGATACAAGACCCTTGCATACCGGTATAAAGAGGTCTATGCTAGATCTTTAGACAGCATAAAAAGCGCCCACGGAGCATCTGTCACCTCTTGTCGCTTCTACGTGGCGCGATTTATTGGTTATTTTCGCGAGCATTGGACGAGATTGGAATACCAGAAACCTTTCAGGGGTTATGGAAAAGCGGTTTGGCCTGAGACCTCCGTTTCCATTAATGTCGCGCGTGAGACGATCCTCGGCCCACGCCCAAGTAAATTCAGTTTGGGCCTGGCACGGCCTATCTATAACCATGTAATTGAGTTAAACGGGTATGACTGGAACATATTTCTGGTAATTTGATCATTCATAGATATACGGGGAAATCGCTGCCCGGCTCGGCCGGCTGCGCTCTCTTTAAACGACGCTACGCAGCTGGCCCGTTTGTCTTGTCGGTCCGGCGCTATCGATTTGGACAATGAACTCCGGTCGCCACGTGACCAGTGCCACTGACTTCACCACTCGGAACATCGGGGCTTCGCACAAAGCACATTGTCCAGCGCACTGGTAGCACCGGCGAATATAGTCAGCGCTACCACTGCACAGTGATGCAAATGGGGCTCACGAGTGGCCATAAATACCGAAAAGGCCCAAATTTCAAGTTCACCTAATTGAATAAATCGTAATATGGCCAGTCAGACAAATGTTTGGGGTGTCTGAAAAAAACAAGATTTTCATATTGTTGTCAAAACCGGCCTCGTGTATGATTGTCAGAAGTCGTGACATTTTCTATGTCGTAAAATGACTGTCAGATACTCGCAACTTCGAACGCCGCTAGCGTGCGTCCATTTCATACAAATGACAAAAATTATACATGGCAATGATTCCCAAGGTCTGCTGCTTCTAATGCAGGGTCACTAAAAGCCATATCTCTTTTGGTTTGGCGTTGATCTAACTATTTGTCATCATGTTGCAATCGCAGCTTTTTATTTAAAAATATTTGCTTTTGTTTCACCTAGAGCAGTTTACACAGTGTGTGCCCGTTATTGCACCATACCATAGCATTCCCTAATCATTTCTGAGCCGCGCTGTGAAAGAATGAAGGCGCTAGCACAGGGTTGACCGGCGCTACTACAGTTTTCGTCCGTTGCGATCGGGTGCCGCGGCGCGGTGGGCAGCCCGGGCGGCCGCACCGCGGGCGGGCGGCCTCAGCGGGGGTTCGTAGGTGCATCCCTCTGCTGTTCCTAAACGAAGTGTCCTATCGCCTCGCGACAAAAACCAATGGATTGCTCTTGACAAGATCTCGCGAGCGAGCATATTATTTTTGACTTAAGATCAATATTTGACCTACTTATAGCAGTTCAAAGTTAAACGTCTGTCGAAATTGCGATCCGCGGTGAAAGCAATCCGCCCCGACCGCGACACCCGACCGCGCCGGACAAAAACTTCAATAAAGCCGGTCTGCCCTGTGCTAGCGCCTTAATTCTTTCACGGTGTGACTCAGAAATGGTTAGGGAATGCTATGGTATGGTGCACTAACGGGCACACACTGTGTTAACTGCTGTAGGTGAAACGAAAGCAAATATTTCTTAGTAAAAAACTGCGATTGCAACATGATGACAAATGATTAGATAACCGCCAAACCAAAAAAGATGCTGCTTTTTGTTGCCCGGCATGAGAAGCAGCAGGCCTTAGGGATCATTGCCATGTATAATTTTTGTCATTTGTATGAAATGAACGCACGCTAGCGGCGTTTGAAGTTGCGAGTATCTGACAGTCATTTTACTAGGGTTGACTATTAAGTAATGGAAGTGCCTTTAGCAATTAAAAGTTTTTGCACGTGCACACATTGTTTTGGTGCCATCACGTGCGCCGATGTTTTTTCTATCCAATGGTGAAGACCAGGTGTCTTTAGCTACATTTTGCTCTGAGCTATCGACGTTTTCCCAAGAGACCACCCAAACCTGCGGCGCACGACAAAAAAGGAGCCTGGCAATGGCCAAAATCGCGCGCCAGCGCGAGGTCATTAAATTTCAGTTTGTGGTAGGGAAAAGGGCAGGCCTGCTGAGATCAGGGAATTTCTTTTAAGGTGTATAGAGCGACGTCATCAGGTGCGCCGGGCAACAGGTGCGACGGGCGGTTGTGCCGCGTGCTCGCGCAGATCAGCGAAGATGGCCTCCTGGCGGTGTTCCAGGACTGGGTCAAGAGGCTGGAACGGTGTGTGATGCTAGGAGGCGATTATGTGGAGTAGTGGGTGCTAGTGTTATTTATTGTGTTATATGCATTGTTTTTATGAAAATATAGCAACTTCCATTATTTTATTCGTGTAGCCATATCACTTGGCCACTGAGCCCTGGTGATCTCGCCCTGGCGCACGATTTTGGCCATTGCCAGGCTCCTTTTTTGTCGTGCGCCGCAGGTTTGGGTGGTCTCTTGGAAAAACGTCGATAGCTCAGAGTAAATGAAGCTAAAGACATCTGGTCTTCACTATTGGATAGAAAAAAGATCGGCGCACGTGATGACACCAAAAAAATGTGTGCACGTGCAAAAACATTTAATTGCTAGAGGCACTTCCATTACTTAATAGTCAACCCTAGTACGACATAGAAAATGTCACGACTTCTGACAATCATACACGAGGCCGGTTTTGACAAAAATATGAAAACTATGTGAATTTAGATGCGCCAAACATTTCTTTGGTTAGCCATATCGCGATTTACTCGGTTTGGTAAACTTGACTTTTTGGTATTTATGGCCACTCGTGAACCCCATTTGCATCACTGTGCACTGGTCTCTTTGATGTGGTGTCCATTTGTGAAAGTGTTCAACGGAAGTGTTGCCACATTGTGCGTTTCACACGGAATGTGGTGCCGAGTTCTTTGTGGACAGTGACGCGTGAGATTGTTCAAAGAGATGTCAATCAGTCGGTTTTTACAATTGACCGACCGACGAAAGTGTTGTGCATGCACTACAATAAGCACAAAGGCTTGAATTGTACATATGCATGCTGTTGAAATGTGTCACTATATAGTGAGCATTATTTGTAGAGTGTTTCGTAGCGAGTACAGACGTAATAAAGTTTGTTATAACAATGTTTTGAACGCCGCCTGCGGATATAGCAGGCAATTGTAGGAAACGAACTACGCATCTGCTATAAACGTCAATTACCAAACGTATTCACCCCATAAAATACATATATGGGTTTGAAGATATGTATATGTGCCTTGAGTAAAGGCCACAAGCCGGCAATAAACTACACACAGTCATAACTGTAAAGTACTTACACAGAAGCAATATGCGGATTAGTCTTCAGCAGTTGATCAACGAGCGTTTGTAAAAAAAAGTTTTATTATATTCTAGATTAAAACTTCTGACAAGATCTTGTATGTATGGCTCTGAGAGAATATTAAACCACGTTGCATTTCAAGGCTCATTATTCATAACGCTGTGAAATTACTTGCAACCTTAAGCTGAGCACGAGAAACATAATTTATTATGACGAATGTGCGCCATAACTTTTGGACCTGATGTCCCATTTAACTATATCACCCACTACAGTTCATGTGACGTATATAATGTCTCCCAACTGTGACTTCAAGGCCCAGCTCTCGGAAAATAACATTCAGTAGTGGTCCCTACTTTGAGCCCCGACGTCTCTCGCTAGCTGTCCCACCCATCCCCCTCACCCCCTCGCCTCGAGCAGTCATGTGTCAAATTGAACACGTGATTGGTAATATGTACACCAGCATCGACAGACTTGGCGCTGCCGTACGCGGCACGACAAACGCAATATGGCAGCCCTCAGCAGCGCTCGGGGACTATCCGAGCACGGCTGCCAAATCAGGTCGAATGATTACCGCCCCCTAGGGAGCGATCCTCGCGATCGTGACCTGATATCAGACGCTCCCAGGAGGTCACATGGCCAGGGAAATGTGCATATGAGGGCTAACGATGTTGGTGATGCCATGCCTCATATATTGGCGTTGGTGAGTAACGTGTGTCGTATCATTGCCCCAACTGTCAATTACGGATAAATGACGCGAGGCATTCATGAGGTCAAGGTAGGTACGTTTTTCGGCTACTAGTCGTTTATTGTTTTCGTTTCGAATTTTCGACCTTCGCATCGAGGTCGTTGTCAAGAAACATACAACAATGGTTGTTTGTATGTTTCTTGACAACGACCTCGATGCGAAGGTCGAAAATTCGAAACGAAAACAATAAACGACTAGTAGCCGAAAAACGTACCTCCCTTGAATTAAGATGTCTAGTCGTAAAAGCTTGAAATCATACATTCATGAGGTCGCTGATCAAAACAGCTATCAGAAATGTTGTGGGCGGAGAGATATTCATATTAGAGCAAGGGCGGAAGGAGGCGTCAAAGAATCGCCATGGAAAGGCCAACATGGCAAATGCACCGGAAATTATCAACGCAGGGTGAACTGAGCACAGCTGAGATGAAATTGCCTAAAGTACTCTAAGCTGAGCTAAGGTTGTGCGAGAACTGAGTCTGAGCGAGTCTTTCTCATTCCAGCGGACCCGACTGAACTATTTTCAGCTGGGTACAAACTAAAAGCCCCTAACGATGTTAACAAGAACGTCCCCAGCAGCAGACTTGTCACCACCCCACCCACTCACCAGACGAAGTACTTTTGGTCGAAGTTGTCGCCGCCGCTGTACCCGGGCAGCCACTGGATGGTGATGGCGTAGCTGGACGCGTTGGTGGTGATGTTGTAGGGCGCGTGCGGCGTCGTGCCCTCCACCACCAGCTGTGGGGGGAGGGGGGAGGGGGTCAGATGGTCCCCGTTCGACCCGTGCCGTGTCTCCGGGGCACAGCCGGCCCACCGATGCGGGCTCGACCTTTTCGATATCGTTTACCGAGATTGGCCGATGCACCGAAGGGAACAGAGCGGCGTGCTGTCTCCGAGTTTGCCGTTCCGTAACGTCATTTGCCGGTTTAATAGACTATTGGTTTCTGCTCCGAGTGTCCCAGATTCTCGGAGCACGTCCCAAGGCAATGCAGCTTTGATAAGCATGAAATCAAATCAGGTAGCCTTCAGGCAGTTTACCAAAAGGAAGGTGCATAATAAATGTGTGTCAGGCATTGTTTCAAACCTACCCCAAACCTAAACATATCGAATGGGAAATAGTGTCACTTTTTGACATTAAAATCACAGGCAAAAATAAACTGCATAGAATTAATATCGGGGTCGAGCGACCAAGAAACTCTCCACGGAAGAGCGGATCGTTTAGAGTGGGCTGGAGCTAAGGTCTGAGTGCTATGGCGAGTTTTCGACGAAACACTGAAAGCCAAATAAATGTTACCACATAAAAGTCTCACAATTTAACTGGTTTTAGTTTTAAAATGGACCAGAACATAAAGCACTTAAAAAGTTGTAATTAACCCTAGTTCTCAATACAGTGAAATAGGCCTTATCAGCTGTCCAAATACGAAGCTTAATTACGCTGCAACTCAATAGCTTTCATTAACGTCTTATTCAGGAAAAACAGGCTACGAACAATGCTTCGTTCTGAAAGACTCTCAGTATCTCTCAGTATTCTTCTATAGAAGAATTGTCAAATGGCGGAATCAATGCCACAATTTCCGTCCATTTTACTCGAGCACGCGACCTCCATTGCATTGCGATTCCTTTGAAGTCTCCCAAGAGGTCGGCCTGTTTTTGGTAACAGCAGACTCGCGGCGCGTGGAGGGCTCGCAGCTCGTGTGGGACCATCCTTCAGCGACAGAAAATACGCCTTTCACAGCTGAAACTCGGCCCCATCAAAGCTTTGTCACGCCCTCAGCGACAGCAAACGCACGTCTGATCCATAATTGAATACATGCAGCATAATGGCGGCAGCAACACATTTTAAGTTTGAAGCAGCTAGCAGCAAAGATCTTAGAGGACACTAATACCGGCGCACCATAAGGCTTTCCTTCCCGCTGGTATGCATTTGATATGGGTAAGCAATAGGGGATGGCGTAGTTAATTTCCATGGTATCTTCCATTCGTTGTCACTTCCATGGACAATTTCATCGTTGAGCAAATCAGAAAACCTTCGAAGCTTTTGTCCAAAATAAAAGTTAGACCAAACATATCTAGTCTAGCGAGAGCATTCAGCAATATTGATTTAGATGGGAAAATAATGACCATTCTCCGGTCAGCTCCTGAACACTTATCCCCGGATCCAAAAGAGGCCTCTCCCTACAGACTGCAGAGTCCCACACCAGACCTCACCCAACTCCCTGAGGTCAGTCAGCAGCCCCTGAGCATCCGTCTTTGTTCAGCTGCCGCAGCTCCTCGTGGGTTCCGCCCCAGCCCTGATGATCGCGCGAATCGGTTTCGACGACATCGGCGCCGCTCCATCACCCCCTGATGACGTACTGACGACATCGCTGACGTCATCAGCGGTGTGTGACGTCACAAGGTCGGTGGCTGCGGCCGACTGCCCCCCCCCCCCCGTCTACGGCTAACTAGCCCGACTCCTCCCTTGGGCTAGAGAAAGGACGGAACGGGACCCTCAGGCAGCGGCGGAGCGCTGTGGTGGACTCGTAGCGAAAATGCATCGATCGTCTTTTTATTTACTTATTTAACCTATTTATTATTACTTATTTATTAGTTCAAATGACTGAAGTCAGCAAGCAACTTCTTATGGCGAAATAAGCTTTGGTCCCAGTGTACATAAAAAAGACAGGAGTCGCAAACACCATTCCGTGGAATTTTTGGTGTGACAGCTGTCTCGAGGGCAGCACCGCAGCGCGCTCAATTCCATGCCTCCAACGAAACCCAACATTATCGTAACATGCAGGTCTCTGAGCGCTCTGTTTTAGCAAAGTGATCCCTGACAATGGAAGTTCGTAGAATATTTCAATGAGTTTTTCGTGTGATACCGAATCAATGTTTTATCACCGAAATATTTGCAACAACTGTGCAAAGGCTTAACCTTCCAGGCGGTGGGGGGGGGCATTTTTTGCCCCCCCTTAGTTTTTTTCGATATATCTCGAGAACCGCTGCGCCGATCGTCACCAAACTTTCAGTACCCTCCCGGGAGTAGCTAGCGCACATGGTGACCAAAATTTTTTCCTAAGGCTATGATAGGTTGGCCGCTAATGACGTCATAGTGACGTCATTTCTGCCATTTTCGACCCAAAAAAAGGTTTCGCGGGAAGAGCTGTCAGGCCTACAGCTTTAGAGATACAGAAAAATATTTCAGACATAAAAGGTGTGAAATCAAGAGGGCTACACAACTGTTATTTCGGTTTTTCGAATTTTTTGGATTTTGACCCAAAAAATAAAAAATAGATTTTTGAATATAATAGCCAAAAAATCCAAAAACTTTTTGAATTTCGAAAAACCGGAATAAATGTGATAGTCCCTACCGCCTTCTATCTACATACCAAATTTGAGATCGATACCTCTTTTTGGCCAAGTTATAGCGAAAAAAAAACTGTTCAAAATTGATGACGTAAATTTCAAACTCAATTTGTAGCAATTCTAGACCTCGTAGCGCAAAACAAAGACCACCATTAGACTCCCCGTGAAGAGCTGCATCGAATCAATACCCATTTTATGCAAAAATATCAACTTTGAAATTTGACCTTTTTTGACCTGACCTTGACCTGACCTCCACCAGAAAGTGACCTAAACCGTACCTGATGGTCTTATAACCAACACCATTGAGTTGGAAATGAAAAACTGGCCATAAAACATACATCGCACAACCTTAGTAAAGTTGGGTTCATGTGGTGACCCTTGGTGAGGGTGACCTTTGGTGACCTGACCTGTGACCTGACCTGGTATGACCAGTGACCTCTAATAGCAACATATGTACTAGACAACTGACGCCTTATTGCTGATTTTCGACAAAATGCGTTTTACTCGGTGTTATAGCGCTTTCCCCAGAAGCCCCGTGAACGGTGAAACATTTTATCTTTGACCTGACTTGTGACGTCATCGGTGACCCCGAGGTCAATGAAATTTGGTTTCCTTCGACAAATTTGACAGGGCTATCAAACGCCGTTTGAAATTCCCGGATCCGTCCGGTAGTTTCGGAGATACGGGGGGGGCAAAAAATGCCCCCCCCCCCCCACCGCGCGGAAGGTGGCCGGGAGGCCCACCGCCTACCGGGTTAATTTGCTTAGACATTAGATAGGTGAGCATGAAGCTCAGTATATATTAGTATATTAGCTCAGTATATATTAGAGTTCAGTGGCATGAAGCCGTAATTGCCACATTATATGTGGGAGACTTTTGATGTCAATACAAATTGTTAAACGAAATGGTCCCCTTGTTTTAATGTGAAAAGAATGTTTTATGTAATGTAATGATCCTGTCAGTTTTTTTGGTGAAGAGTATGCTTTATGGAATTTAATGATGTTGTTACATAAGGAGACTATCGGTCCGTAAAGTTCGTAAAATGAAAACGAACATTATAGCAAGTGTGGAGAAAACAAACCAAGATCTTACACGGTCAGCAAAAAGGTGAGGGGGGGGGGAAACCAACGATTGTGGTCAAGAGGTAATTATGAAATTGAGATATTTTACCGGTCAATGGCACCACACTCATTATTGTTTCAAGAAGCGTTTTTTTTTTTTACTTCTTATACAGGATCGTACCGAGGAACATAGAGAAAAAGAATTTACAGGAGCGGACACCGTGATTAGCTCTGTGGTACAGTAGCGACAATCTCGATAAAGATTATACTCTGAACATGGAATGGGATAATGAGAACACTTAGTATCAATTAACTACGACAGAGTAAATTGTCTTTCCAGGCATCCGCATAGCATTACTGTCTAGATAATTGCATTAGTGTAATTAGATACTTAATGGTACATTTAACTCAAACAAAATATGCAACGGTATCGAGCTTGGCCTTTTATGCTGCTCTCTCAAGCTGCATCAAACAACAATTATAATACTGTACTTGCTGATGAACTGTAGCCGGAAAAGACGATCTTCCATCATAATTTGCCATAGCATTACGTTCAAAATTGAACACTTTGCTGAAGGCCACGCACTTCCCAAACTAAATCAAGTAGCAAGGACAACCAAAGCTTCACCACGTCTGTGACTTAACCAGCCACATAAACAGTCAGCGGTTCATACCTGGGTGGACGTTACAATTGTGGCGACGCTGTTCCGTGCTACACACTCATAGTAACCGAAGTCGGACTTTTTCAGCGACTTGATGGTGATGTTCCCCTCGTTGACGATTGCCCGGTCGCTCGGAAGGCTTTGATTATCGTGCTGTGGGCAGAAACAACGTTATATAAATCAGCGAGCACACAAAAACAGGACTGTACGGGCGAACGAGCACAGCTCAGAGCTGGCTCCTGTGCAGCGCTCATCAGGTGAGGTGGAGGTACATAATACGCGGACGTTCAATTATTTCCAAACAGCCAGGTAGGTCGTTAGTGCCCCGCGAGCCGTAATTGGCCAGTAAATATGTGTGAGTGCACAGCGGCAGACGTGTTTATCAACGCCCGGTTTATCAACGTGCCTGTTTATCAACGCCACAAGTACGGTGCGTCACCCAGGTGACGCTAAAGGTCACCATTATTAGCTGCGGTGGGGTTACCTTCCCGCCGCCAAGTGCCGGGGCAAACATATTAAATGGCCATGTTCAGGGTGAAGGATACGGTACGGTAACAGTGAGCTATAGAAGGGATCTATTGTACTGGTTTGGTAGCTCAGTAGCGGGTAAATGACAACGAAAGTCAACCATTGCTAGATTGGGAAATGAGCAAACAGAGAAAGGACATGCATTATCGTGGTAACTGATTATGCTGACATAAAAGCATAGTAGTGACCGCGAGCTGCAAAAGCAAAACACCGTTCAGCTACAAAGCAATGATTACAACAGCTTAAAAACATTGAAGAAATGAAAATCAAACTCATTTCGTCATGGAACGTACGGAAGTTTGATGGAGCCATTAAATATAATATCAAACACATACATTACATCAAGCCATACCCCTACTCGTATAAGCATGCTCGTTTAATAGCCCACGTATTGCGTAAACAACATACAAGAAACTACATTGTACTATGGGAACCAACATTAGCTTTATTAGCTGACTCGCAAGTTCAAAGCAAGGATTCGTTAGCCCAGCATACACGAACCCTAACACGAAGCTACCGGCAACTCTTAGGTATAACCCATATCGGAGAATAAGCCACCCAAGTCCCCACCACATCTTGGCGCTTTGCCAATCCAGTGCCTATCTGAGAGAGAAGCCCCCGTGTCCCGCTGATCAGGGCCCAGAGGTAAGGAGCTATTTCGGGCCGCACAGAATCCATGCGTGCCGCGGATTAGGTTCCGCCGAGGTGGTATCACGTAAAATGTTATCGGAAGATGTGTGCATGTAGATGTGCGATGCGCGTATTTCTAATTGTTGACGATGAAGAAATATTATCTGCAATTCCTCAAGTCAGGAAAATGTTTTTTCTAGCAGTGTTTCACCACTAACGACTAAAATCCTCGCTCTTATCCTCGCAGCTCATGTTTACGATTTTATGCGCCTTGGCTTTGAGGACAACTTTCACTGACCCGAAACCACTAGCTTCATTTGTGTGCAGCCAACATTAATTTCACCCCAGTATGTCCTTCCCATCTTCTACCGTCCTTCCATCCCTGTAGCCCTTCCATCCACTCCAAGCCTCCCATACCTTCCGTCCTCCCAGGTCCTATCATCCTTCAGCCTCTGAAATGGTCTCGTCAGACCAAAAGAGCCTAACCCAGCAAATAGTCAGGGGAAGGAGGCCCAATTTTGGGCCGAATAACGCAAAATTGGGTAGAGCTTAGCAAAGGGTGGTTTCTGGGACAAAAATGACCGCTGAACCCGAATCTGACCGGTGCGCACCTCTAACTAATGTTGCACCACTTCCAGAGCACGTGCAACTGCGTGGTTCATCTTTTTGGAGAATGGTACCTTCTTAATGAATTGCAGTGTAACGTCGTTGATATTTGAGATATTGTTTTGAGATTTTGTCCCTGTGCTAAAAACACATAGCGTAATTGAAAGCTGAAGTTTTGCTATGTTCGGGCAGCCGATGACGTCACCGTGACGTCATTTACCGATAAATGAGTTGAAAAAGTCGTCTTGTCCTTAAAGCATTTAACTTTATTCCCGTCGTATGCAAATCAGAGAAGGGAAAATAATCAAACATGATCTATGAATATTTCTGAGTCGGATCATGCTAAAATCGTTTTTGCAGAGGTACATGTGAGTCACGTTGAGAACGTGACAGTCCAAGTCACCACCTAACAGATTTGGTCAAATGGATGAAGTAGTACAGCAAATTGATAAATCACGTGAAACAGGATATTTTTATATCATTTTTAGCGTGTTCTGGCCAGTTCTGGCGCTGCGACGGCATTTAAATCAAAATGTTGTTGGCGTTGAACTGACTAAATATTGTTCCTTTGGTCTTATTTATAGTTCAAATTGTATATTTTTTTATTTATTTCAAGTAAATATCCATTCCTATGAATAACGGAAGCCAGCGTGGGTTCAGCCTACTCGTTACGCGTGTTTGGCAAGCGATAAAAAATGATCCAGAATTGTGCTTGTCATGAAGACTGGGAAAGAAAATAACAGCTGTGATTTTATCAAAAAGGGCAAAAATCACCTTTGTAAGAAAGTGAAATATCTTGGATGTTTGAGGAAAACAATCTAAGATCGAAGCGAGACAACACGATAGACGATGCAGGAACAAAACAGTAGGGTAAGGTGCCTAATTAGCGACCCTTTCCGATTTGCGACCTACCTCCCTACAGAAAAACTGGCAGGAGAAAACGGGGTAAAAATATTGCCAAAAGGTCAGCCATACTTTGGTTATCAAATTAAATTATTTTCCGGTCGTCGATGTTTCTGGTGGGACGTTTCAGGTGAGTTTAAATAAAAATGACGAGTTTCTTATCCAAAACGTGTGTATTTGGGCCCTCTCTGATGAAAAGCGATGCACATTAGGATGATGCACCTTTTTTATTCTGAATCGACGTTCCTTCTTCAATTGATTGCCGTTTTCCCATAGTGAATCGCTCAACTGTGCACAGCATGACGGTTAAAAATGTGTCGCAACTCATATTTCCTATTTGCGCCTGACATGGTCGCAAATAGCTCAAGAAGGGAAAGAAAGGGGAAAAGAGAGAAATGAAAATGAGGTGTTGCTGAAGCTTGCAATGTGTGGCAGGAGATGCCAAATGTCGTCACCGACTGCAGGGGTGCCGAATTCAGCGCGGACCTCGAATATCATACGAGATAGCCCGCAAAATTTGGGTTTCCGCCTTCTTTTCGCCTTTCGGTGCATCACGTGATCAGTTTTTACTTCCGTAAATGTGTTGGGTAAACGTTCCTGTTCGAGTGATTGAGTGCTTTGCGTATAGGTTACCTTTTTGAGATCATATTTCATCTTTTCAGGCGTCGCATTTTTTGCCATTTTTAATATGGGGAAACCCATAGACTTATTAGCGACCCTCCCCGGTCGCTAATCGGGAAGAGTTCCCTATTAGCGTTTTTTGCAATGGTTTGCCAAAATGCTCACTACAAATAAGTTAGTGAATATTGGGGCAGAAAATGACTATATTTTAATAGGAAAATGAACGGTCTTTCCGAAAATCAAGCCAGTAATACAGTGGCACCCACAGAGCGTGAGCAATGACGGTTCAAATTAAGGGGGTCGCTAATTAGGCACCTTACCCTACCTACAAAAATGATCTGACAACCGAATGCCTCCTCGTAAACCTGGTTTGTGTGAAGTGCATTTTCTTGGGACTACATTGTAAGTGAAAATTCATTTGTATCAAAGGAGCATGGATTCGTGATTGCCCTATAAAGTTGAAGCTTGGTGACACCTTTAACATGCATGCGGCTCGACACTATCAGATGCTCTTGGAACACACATGGAACCGTTTTAGACAAAGCTGCAGATTGATGATGACCGGCACGACGAGCTGAATAAGGAGCTCACCCGACTCGCCCGTCTGAGTCCAAAAGAGATTGAATAGTACCAGCATGCGGCTGATGGAGAAGGGAGAGCCGGAGCTGGCAGTACGGACCAGGGAGCTGGCAGGCCAGGAGTATGGACGCCTGACGCGACTCCCTCCGGACGATCCCGCTCGGAAGCTCATTGATAAGACACCGCCATCTAGACTGCAGTACAGAGCCCACCTCCATTGGATGCGGAAGAAACAGGAAGCCCAGGAGGTGGGAGTGCCGGCGCCGTCGCCGCCAGATGAGGACGTTGCCGGCCTCCAGCATCGACCCTGTTTCGGTCGAGTGGGGAAGTGGGTTTGCGAGGAAGCTGGACTGGGTGGAGTGCCCGTAGCCCCACTAACACTGCACCTGGGAGAATCGCCGTGGAAGCAGTACCACACCAACGTCCACATCGGCTGGAAGCTTCCGAAACCTACCAAGAGGACTGACCCACCAGAATTACGGAAGGCTACAACCCTGGAGGCCCTGGCCGCTTACCCAAATCCAGACCTCACAATCTGGTCTGATGGCTCTGCCCTAGACGGTACCAAGAAAGGCGGCGGAGGAGCCCCCCTCGAACTGTACCGTGAGGGGCGCAAGATCGAATGTACCGTACCGGCAGAAGTCGTATGCAGCAGCATGCAGGCGGAGCTGGCGGCGATGTCGGAGGCGTTAAAATGTTTCCTGGGACTGCCGGAGCCATCCCTCGCTGCCATTCGGTCTGTCCTGCTCTGCTCGGACTCTCTGTCCAGCCTCCAACTGCTCAACCGAGGCCCGGCAGCGCAGGAATCGGCCCTGACACAGGGCATCTGGGCTCTCCTGCACTTTGCCGCGGCCGGGGGCAGAGCTATCAGTCTCCAGTGGATCCCGCGGGCCACCCGGGGGTCGAGGGTAATGAAGAAGCGGACCGCCTAGCAAACATCGCGGCAACATCAGGCGACCAGCGTCGGATCCCAGTTGACCTGGCCTGTGCGCGCATCGCCATCAGACACTGAACCGGCCTGCTCACCCTCGATCGCTTCAAGCACCACCCACATCTGGAGAGCACCCCTGGCCACGACGACCTCGACCGATGGGGACAGACCACTGTCTCGCAGATCCGCAGCGGCTGCTCACCCCTGGTCCGGGCCACACTCTTCAAGATTGACCTGGCCACCAGCCCTCTCTGCGGACAGCGCGGCGAAGAGGACACGGTCGCGCACCTGCTATGCGAGTGCCCGGCCGCGCAAGAACGCGAACCCGGCTCTGGGGGTCGCTCCCCACCCTCTAGGATGTGCTTTCGGGGCCGGCTAAATACGTCACGGAGTTCCTCGACCGAGTGGGGCGGATCACGCCACCTGTGGACCAGCCCCGGTCTGCCGCGCCCTAGGGCACGGCCGGCAGTGCACGGAAAAAGAAGGGAGAGCCGGCTGACGCATCGGAATAGGCACATCTACCCGAGTCCTGCGTCGAGAACGACCAGTCGCTCTGCTCCGTCGACCTGGTCGGCGACTCCACGTACCGGCTGGTTGGCGTCGTACAATTTAACGGCTGTGCCAAGCACTCGGGATACTACCTATGTGCGTATGCCGTGTACTGTACAGAATGGGACAGGACATATTGTATCATTACGACGAGACGCGTCCGCTGGATGGACGAGGCAGACGTCCTGGGCGAAGGCCACCGCCCAGGGTGCACACAGTCACCGTGCCGGCGGCTGCCAGCCGAATGGGTCCTGATAGTAGCCGTGCTACATTATGCGTGTTCGCCTGTGCGTGTGTATGTGTGTGTGTATATTTACCAGAAGAGATAAATACAACCAACCAGAATCAAATTCTCTCCGGTTAGTGGTTACGTGTTCTTCAATGCTGGGGTATGTGACGTCTAAAAACATGAATAACCACAAGACATTGATAAGAACTTGGGACATAACAAATGTGAAACCGAAATTTACGGTGTCGGTGTCGAAATTTACGCCCACCTTACTAGGTACTCGTATGCCAACGTAATAAACTAAAACTACGCCTGTTAAGCACACATCTAAGTCTAAAATCTCGCAAGCATACTGCATGCCTTACGATTGTTTTGCGGCGCCAATACAGATATGACCGACTTCTATACCTAGTTACCTTTGAATTTTGTCATGTGACGTCCTGAAAACGTCATCAGCAATTTTTCAGCTGTAGTTTTTGGTCAAACCATAAGAACAATGAAAACATTTTGGCCATGTGATTATTTTGATTCCAAAGCGATTGGTAAGCTTCATGACCATTTCCAGTTAGGTCATAACCTTCAGTAGCGTGATTATCGACCTGAGCTCATGAACTGCGGTAGAATATAATCTTAACCAATCGAAGCCAATTTGCATACTATTCGATGCGTCTCGGTGAGAGAATCACTACGATGGTAAAATGGACGACATACAAGCATTGTATCAAAAGTTATTGCACAAAAACTATTTGGGGTAAAAACGCACACTCCGCGGATTTCGCCCCCTGTAGGCCAAAATGGTACCTCCATCCAAACGATTTTTACTTTTTGTAACGGGGAGATATTTTCTGAGCATGCTCAATGCATTTTAAATCCGCCAATGAGCGTATCCTGTGAATAAAGTTAAATGTTTTGTTGTCGCACCTCATTTTCCCGTCAGTTTACGAATAAATGACGTCACAGTGACGTCATAGATTGTCTGCGATATGCGTTATCTATGATTTTCATGTATGCAATGAATTTTGACTATAATATTAAAGTTTTGGAATAAAACACAACTACACGACTAATTTTATTTTAAAATATATAAAAAGGGTACCATTCTTCAAAAAAGAAGAACCACGCAGTTGCACGTGCTCTGGAAGTGGTGCAACATTAGTTAGAGATGCGCACCGGTCAGATTCGGGTTCAGCGGTCATTTTTGTCCCAGAAACCACCCTTTGCTAAGCTCTACCCAATTTGCGTTATTCGGCCCAAAATTGGGCCTCCTTCCCCTGACTAAAAACAAATAGGGCAGGAGAGGATGGGAGGACAGGAAGTAATGGAGGATAGGAGCAAATAGGAGGACGGAAGGGGACGGGGGGCGGGAGGGCTAGAGGGAGGGAGTGGATTGGAGGACAAGGGATGCAGGGGGAGACATTGGTCTGGGCAGGCACCATAGAGAGTCACCGGGGCTGGGCTCATTCAATGTAACGGCCGTCCAGTGCCCCCAAAACACTCAGTACACCCAGCTACGGGTGTGCTCCGGTGGAGCTGTCCGCGTGGGGTAAAGTTGCCCGTCCAGCCCGGATCAGGGGGCTGAGGCGTGGGGGAGAAGAATTTGTTATCCTGAGATGGAAAAGATGGAACGGTTTGCTGTCCTTCCATTCCATCCCTCCCCTTCCATCTCCTTCCATGCAACTCACCCGCCTCCAGACGACTTTGGGTGTGGGCGAGCCCTCCACTGTGCACGGCATCTCGATGGAGTCGTGTACCTTCCTCTGGTACAGGTTCTTGGGCCGGATGACGAACCTCGGAGGCTCCCTGACCACCACCTGCATGTTGCCAGACTCGCCGCTCGAGCCGTGAGAGTTGAACGGCCGACACGTGTAGACGCCCTGGTGTTCCGGACGCACCTGAGGAGGGTAGGTGGCGCTACACGTCAGGGGAAAGGAGGTTTACGGGGTCGCTGCAGACAGAAAGGAGCCCGACATCCAGATGGCAGGGCCGAGGTCAATTGCATTTGTTGAGCAAAAATGCATGGAAAATGTTCGGCTTACGTCGCATAACATACAGCATTACCAATGAAATCAAATCCGTTCGAACAGAAAGAAATGACCGTCTGTGTCCCATCAACGTTCGTAAGATTTACTCGAAATGTAGGGATGAGTTTGACGTTAAATGCATCCGAACATCACATGTCCGATGATCACCAAACAATCAAAGAACATCACAATCGCAAGAACTGCACTCACCGTATCGATGAGTATTGAGCCGTTCATGAGCAGTCGGAGGCCGGGCTCGACTTTGGGGTCGAACTCGCGTTTGTTTTTGTACCACTTGATGAACTGGATGGGTGGGTTGGACTTGATGTGGCAGCGAATCACTCCCTGTAGGCCGGCCGGCAGGTACTGCATAGACGGCGTGTATGGTACGTGGGCCGCATCTGAAAACACAGCAGCACAAACGTGGTCAAACGTGGGGCAGGAGCGTACGACGTTCAAGCTGGCAGGATGCAGTCCCAAGAAACATTAGTGACTGGTCGTCATGGGCCAAGGGTGGAATTATCACAATGTGACGTCACATCGAAAAATAGCCGACATAAGCAACGATCGATTTAGCTCATTCTTGAAATCAACAGAAGTATCAATATTAGTGATGTCAATTACGGAAAATCGTGATACCGATACCAAACCAAACACCAACAATATCCATGGAAAAAGACCGAAACCAAACCGAATTGGGAATGTTAGGAAAATACCAACTTTTTACCAAATTCTCAGCCTCTTTGACACTAGTGAGGTTTAATAATATCAACAAAATACCAAATGCACTCGCCTTGAAATACCAAATACCAAGTTGGTATCGGTTTGGTATCGGTACCTATACCAAAAAGTTGGTATCCGATTGACATCTCTAATCAATATCCCAGTCATTGTATCGATCAGATAATATCACAAAGAATCAAGTGGAGGCTACCTTAAATAAGTGGCAACAGCCGATAAGATCCTAAAACCGTCATTCCATGCTCTCCATTGCATCGCTGACATACTATACCAATATTCAATGATTAAATCAGCTCAATATGTGACAAGGCAGTCCTTGCTGTCGCTCACTGGCATTTCCCACTGAATTTCCCCTTTGCACTCACACTCGACCTCGAGGAATCCCGAGGCGCGTTTGGGCGCTCCGATGCCGTTGGACACCTCGCAGGTGAACATGCCCGAGTCCTCGGCCGCCACGGGGTCGATCACCAGCGAGCCGTTGTTGGAGATGTGGAAGCGCCTCTCCAGACCGCTGTGCTGCTCCACAGGGATGTCGTCTCGCAGCCAGCGCATGGTGAAGTTGGCCGGCAGCGCCCGGCCCTCGCAGGTGAACACGGCCTGAGTGGCCTCCATTCGTGTGAGGTTGGCAGGGCCGCTGGTGATCACAGCGCCACCTGGGAAGTGGAGAGTGGAGGTTACAGCGACATCTGCGACGGAGGCAGGACATTACAGACTGTTGGGCAGTCCGAGGCCTATCGTGGTGCGCTGAACACTGAGAAGTGTTGCATGCACTTAGAACAACTGCTGGTAGTTAACCGCCCCGGGCTACGTCACAGTCGTCTGGTCAACCGGGCCGGGTCATGCCCCGGGGCGAAAGGCAACCAATCAGCGACAAGCCAGCCGGCCACGCGCAGGGGCGGTCACGCACGCGCAGTGAGGGGAGGGCAGGCGGGACCTCCACAACAGCTTTACGGATCGCGCTATATTAGCCGGATGAAGATGGAGATTTGTTCCCTTCGTTTGCATTTTCTTCTTTATCTATTCGCCTCTGTAGGTAATTTGGCGAATCTATGATACGCAGCCAGAACCATATCCAACTGTTCTCGGTCTATTTTTATCTCTTTTCCGCCAACAAATCGTCGTTCTGTCGACTGCAAAGAAGTTCCATGTTAAAACACTGACTTAATCGCCGATAAATCGTCTCTGGGCGCCGTTAGCGTCAGCGTCATCCGACCGACCCGGCCGGGCGAGGACAGCAGAGACGAACACACTGCTCTGACCCTCCCCCGGTCACTCCGCAGAAAACTGTCACGGCCCCCTACAGCCCACGCAGATATAAATCAGCTCAACTGCTCCAAGCTTTCAAGCGCAATGATGAAAATGTGAGCTACGATAATATTGAATTGGTGTTGATTCAAAAATAACCAGCTGAATAAGACGACGCATCGTAAATTGTCTATTGTCAAACATGGCACGTTTTTACGATGATATAAATACAGAAAGGCAGCCGACTCGACAAAGCTGCAACCTATCCACGGTCCGACAACTGATTATGTGACGTCATATCTCACCTGCTAGGATGACTTTGGTCGTTGAGTGTACGCTTCCCTCGGTGTTTTCAGCCACACAGATGTAATCGCCCGTGTCGGCCTCACTTATTCGAGTTATCCGCAGCTCTGTTCCGTCGTTTTTTACCGCCACCGTCTCCGTATCCTGAATTCGTTTGTCCTCCTGTTGGAAAAAAAGGAGGAAGTGTCACATCTTAGGAGACAGCCATAGCATGAATGGAATATGAGAACATATGGGAAACATGTGATCATTACCAAAAAAAAAAAAAACAGTGATGATGGCTCAATATTAAACGAGGCGAAATAATCGATAGAAATTAAAAGCACCGTCGGTAGATTTTAAATTTGATAACGCGAATGACATTGAGTGTTTAATGCAATTTATTAAAATTGCAAAGGCACAAAGAGGGTTTGAAAGACCACGCTAGCTTCTTGGTGTTTATTTTAAAAGTCGCAGGGTCGGCTGAGCTAATAAAGAGCTGCGTGACATCCGCCGACAACCACCAACAGCGCGGCCGACAGGCGCGGCTGACGGACGGCGCTAACTTGTGACGTCGTGTCAGCGCCGAGACAAACCCTGCGCGGCCGCCGAGCGTCCGACCGACGGCGCCCTGTCCCCGAATTAGCCGACGGAAAACCGCTCCGAGCCGCCAAAAATCGCCAGAGGACAGCGGCGAACCGCCTACCAAAAACAGCGATGGAAAGTTCCCGACGCGTTAACTTTTAATTTATGACAATAAAAGATCCCCGGGGTGGGTTGAAACTTTTCAACAGCAGGCTAGAAGGCTTTCTACTAAAAAGATGATTGTTGTTTTAGGACGGGTATAAGATAAAACGGAGTGAACGTCACATAAGAGTTAATTTCGGCGGTGGAGACGGCAGAGAAGTAATAAGGCAAACAAAGCTGTGCTATTCTTTCTTCTTTTTGGAATAAAAAATTTACGTTCGAAATTCAGATTCATTATGCTTGTTATTCCGACGATTGTCTGAGTGCGTGCGCCTTTTATCACGCATCACGTGCTCCAGAGCCTTCAGCAACAAAAAGAATTCCTAGGGTCGGGACGGCGCAGAAAGACAATGAAATATACGAATCTAAAATGTGCCACCAAATGAAAAGGAACGCCCTACACCACTCCCTGAGGTACACCACTCCCTGAGGATAAGATGTTATAGTAGCACGGCGGCATCAGGCATGTATAATAAATTTATCGCATAGGTTTTACAGCAGAGCAAGTCTAAAAAAACTGCTCGGAATCAATAATTAACATACGAATTTGCTAAAGCATCTACCTTGTCGCACCATTACACTATCTGCTGACAATCTCCCATGCACTAGTTTATCATTTAGCATAGTGTGAGCAAAAGAGAGACTGGCCCTTTAAATGAAATAAAAGAAAGATATGCCGCCTAAGCCGGCGGCTTATGTCCCGCGGCTCCAAACGGATGCTTCATTCCGGGCCGCATTCCCGGTCCCAGCGCCGCCGGACCCTTTGACCCCGCTCGGACCGTCACCCGACCCCCGTGACCCCTCCAGGTGACCCCACTGACCTTATACCACTTGATGACAGGCTCCGGTGTACCCTGTGCCACGCACGCCAGTATCTCCGAATCACCGAGGTTGACGAAAATATTAGCGGGCGGTTTCCGCACCAGTCTTGGTGGCGCTGAAACAAAAACACACGCCGAGAATTAGAGCCCAACTCCAGACGGCCGGGCCCGTCCGAAAAACGGGCGACTAGATAAACATTGGGCGGTGACGTGCCGGATAACACAGATTAGTCTGGCGCATACACAACACCCAGAGGACGATGTTTGTGTGACAGATGGGACTATGCATCGAGATATATGGACGCGAAGTGATGTTTCAATCGTGGAAACGAAGCAGCTTTTGCAGGGATGCATCAATCTATCGATGTTTAGAGAATAAAACACGACTGGTGACTGGTGACATTGATTTATCAAAGACGCCTTAGCACAAACAATCAACAGATATATCGGAATACACATCTAACTTTTAGCACGCATCCATGAAGCATAAACAGACAGATGCATCGATACACTACATTCGCCAGGAAAACATTAGCAATAGAAACACACCAGTAATCAGCATCTTACCGCGAACTTCTACTATCACCACATATCAGCACTGACCACAACCTCTCTCGTCATCGTCTGACCTTATCTGGCTAGGCCACACCGCCCCCTTTATCGAACGTTACATCCCCATCCCCTCTATTGAACGTACCATGCACGTCCAGATGGACCCAGGTGCCGTTTCCGAGCACGGCCGGCGACCGGTCCAAAAAGTGGACCACACACTCGTACCAGCCGGCGTCCGACTCGGTCACATTGGTCATGTTGAGGGAGGCCATGCCGTAGTGCTTGCTGCTCAGGTCGACCCGCTTCACACGGCCTTTGTATGGGTCGGCCACGTGCGGAGGGTATCCGTCGTACCAGATGTAGAGGGGCGTGTTGGAGTTCTGTGGAGACGGGTGGGAGAAATATTAGCACTTAGCGCTAAAGAATACAGACAGGTGGGCTAGGTGAATCGAGAATGTGAGCAGGTGAATCGTAGCTGAACCGCATAAAAAGTTGGCTCCTTGCCTAATAACGATAAATAACCTCAACGTTATTTATTGTAGGTGTCCAGTATTTAATGTTAGTAAGCATTGCCACAATGATTCGTTATGTTCCCCTGAGCATATCTCACAATAGGAAGCATCCACACACGATCAACCAGCACATGACATCTCGCAGAATCTGCCACGTGTCCCATATGACATAACTAGCATCATCGTAAGCCGGGGACGGCTGGACATTGGCCGCGCTATGATCCAGGCTAATCCAATAGAGGACACTCGGGAGACGCGTCCAGCGAGGGACAGACACCACGCTGGGAGCGCCGAATAAATGACGCTGATAATTGCAGCTCCCAGACAAGAGAGGCAATATACGGCTTTAATTAACTGTCGACCCGTGAAAGCAGATGGATGTGGATGCTCGACTTAGTCGCAGATCGCGGTAGTGTATGCGCCTGTTTTATGAGACCAGAGAATGAATGGAATTGCGTTATTAAGGCGTTAAATTGATAAATGACGTCCAAATGTTAGAATTATTTCAGCGAGTTGCCGAGTGGACAGGAAATAAAATGCATTATCATTTCTGCTGAACGAATTGTTGGACGTTTGCTTAGAATATCTAGGACGGAGGACGTTGTTCCGACAGTATAACTTGACGTGAGTCAACATAAATGAGATGATTATTTAAAAAAGAGATAGAGGTATGTGGTCTAGTTAAAAAAAACTACCGTTTTAGGCATTCCAATCGCCAGCCAGAAAGGAAAGACGCCGCACGGCGAGCGCCGGCGACTGGTAGGTAGACTGCGCCGCACTACACCACTGACTGACTGTTATACTGTCCCGCAATACACCTCTAGCGGCCGGGCGGCTCCATCGGCTGAAGAATGAACGACAGCTGCTCTGTCTGTTCTGCGCATCTGACTGGCAAGATGTTACAAAAACTAAGAGGATTATACTCCTGGCATTTATACAAACCCTTATAGCAGGATGAGAGCAAAGAGCGTTCGTTTCATGTAAAAAAGAGCGTAACACACTGTTGTGATAAGGATAGTGTGACGATTTCGAAACGGTCATGCTGCATGCATGCATGCTCGCATTTGTAGCTGCACCAAATCCACCAAGTCTCGCACAAACTGCGACAAACCACGTCTACTGAAGGACAGTAATGGCTAATCGATGTCGTTATTTTCCATTTCAATGCCGCTCCAGTTCACGTCAAGTAGAATGTCGGCAATATCTCAGCGTATTCGAGCCAGTTACGTCACGGTTGACTGACCAATGAGCGGCCGAGAACTCGCCTGTTTCTTCCATTCGATGACGTAGGGGACAGGCTGTCCATCGGGGAAGTCGAGAGGACAGTCCAGGATGACACTTTTCCGGCCCACAAGGGCCGTCACGTGCTTGCCTCTGCCCATGTCCACTCCTGCGGAGAGAGAAGAGGTCACATGTCAGGTCACAAAGAAAATGCAGTGAGCGAGAAGTCTCGAGCAATAATGGTGAACGCAAGACAGCGGGAGCTACGTCTTTTACCAATTAAACTAGCAGAGTGACGCAAATTCCAACAAAATAGTTTGTGCCCATATGACAAACGAGTGTCATGCAAGCACAACAACTTTTTTCCCTAAAACGCAACGAATTTTCCTCTCATCCCAGATACATCAGCATATATCCCAAAGCCCACTCCTGCCAAACAGACGTCTGATCTTTACCACGGCAAGTGACTGCCCGCCGCGCCGGCGACGGACGTCTGACACCATCACTTGTTTCTCGTTGTGTCCTCCTCCTCCCCCCACCCACCCAGTCGTGGTCATTAGTAACTAACGGCTGCGAGCCGTGCGGGCGATAATGAGAAGCAGACCAGGGGTGACGACCACTAAACCGGACCATTTGCCGGTCCATTCCTCTTCCAGGGACCCAGCCCGGTCCAGCGTGGTCCAAAACGACCCTCACTCTTTTCTTTGACTTGGGTTTGATGAATGCATTCGAATACAATTCCCACATTAACACGGTTCGTTTCTTTATTGATTTGACCAACGCTGCCAAAAAGTAACTTGAAGTGACTAAGGATATGAGGGCTATGAACTGGAAGCTGAATCAGAATAAGCCCCGCGAAAAAAAAGTTTAAAAAGATGTTCCACGTGAAAATCGCCATAGAACAGATGCTTGTTTTCATGGATATCTATAAAGCAAATGAGAATTGATAAAAATAATTAGAGCCCTTAAATGCTTCACGAAGTTGTAATTGAGAATGCATGCTGTTGTTGCAGGTTACAACAAATGTTTTCACATTGCCTTTGCCGAAAGTGAAACATATGCTCCAAACCAAAAATATAACATCAGAGCACCTGTGCGCTCAAAACTCAAAATATAGCATCAGAGCACCTGTGCCGGTAAGATCCAACAAGCTGGGCACTGAAAAAAGCCAAACTGGATGTCCCATCGACCTGTGTCGTTACCATTCCTACAATTGGATGAGCATGAATACAAATGCCGCTGTTCCCCTTGAGAGCGTTTGTGTCCCAGAGAGATGACACGGCTGTCTCCAGAACAGAGACAAGATAAATATCCAGTCCCCGCGGGAGCTCAGGCTAATTTCCAGGGAGGAAGCATTTGCGCGTAGAAAGAGCGCAGCAGGCGAAGGCAGATGTAATGCGGCGAAGTGCATCGCTGTTTGGCTTTTGGTGCTTCAAGAGTATTTGTCATCTAAGTAATTGCTCATATTCATCTAGAAGGTCAAGATTGATATGAATTACAACTAGTCATAACGATTCGCACGAAATCTGCCATCGCTATGCATTATGAAAGAACCAAATAAAAGACGACAAGCGATAAAATGAATCTGAAAGGTGAGAGTGTTCGACAGAGGATAAGAATATGTCAGGATGCTTGTTTCGAAAAGATGCTTTTCTCAAACCATTGATGATACCATGTTGAATGTTCCGAATTTTCAAGCGAACGTTGCCAAGAGAATAAAAATATGACCCGAACCTGCTTCCGCCGAAGGCCGACCAGTTATCTGCGTGATAAAAAGTTTCAGTTTCAAATCGAAGCACCAAATTTTCGAGTCTAAAAAAGATAGTTATTTAACGGTTTAAATAAGAATATGGCTATTGGCGCTTGAGGCTGCAAACAGTTAGAGGACAATGGCAAAGCTGTCATCGAAAGCACAGCGTCACTTAATAAAGCGATGTCAATAAAGCATCATTCCGAAAGCCGCAGCGTTCGCCTTTAATTTCGCTTCCCTTGGGTATTGAGCGGCAACAACAAGCACAGCCTCATGAATATTTATACAGACGTCGGTGGCCATAGTTTGACCTGGACACGGAGAGGAGACACAACTGAGCGCCTATTTCAGCTCAGCAACCGACCCGCGCTACCTCAGCTCCGACAGAATGCCGATATCGACGGAGGGAATTCTACACGGACAGGATGTAACGTCGGGACGTTGCCACGGAGTAGCTGGAAGTGCAGCCGATCGATAAAAAACTGGAGCGGCATTACGAAACATTAATCGATGGAGATGTGTGACTTTTCCTACAAACGGCAAACGTGGGCCTTTGTTGATGCTTGAAAAAAAAAAATGTTGATGGGATTGAAATGCCACTAAACATAAACCGTCTGAGAATCTATCTCGAGTTATCGTGAGAGCCGCACGTGCAAGCAAATGCGGCAGGAGGCTGTGATAAACCCCGCCGTGATCTCCCAGCCGGCGGAGTCACGGCTCCCATCTTCACCGGTACATCGTCGGCGTCGACTTGGAGTGGGTGTGAGTCGACGGCACCGACGCGGGCCGCGCCGCCGAGCGGTGCGGCACCATCGATCCAGGCGAGCCGCCGACGCCACTCCGACCCGCCGACATCTTTCGATCAGACGCTTCGACGTCATGCACTCCTCATCTCCACCCGAACCAACGTCTCTCTCACCAGAACGAACCCTCGCTGGGCAGCGACGACCGGTTTCTTTTCCATTCGTTTTTTTTTCTCCCCGTGTGCTATATTCATCCGGAGAATATTTTCTGATCAGACGGAGCGATATCTATTCCGGGCGCGCCCCAGCCGAGCTGAGTGAGTGCGCGCGTCACCCAGGACAAGCGCCGAGCAATAATCGCCGTGCCACCGCCACCGCCGCTCCGCCAATAGGCTGATGATAGGCCGCGCCCGGAGCTGATGGCACACCAAACGGATTGGTGTCACTCAGGAGGAGAGGGGGCGTCGGAGGCGGTGATCCGGGCGTTCGGGGTGTTCCTCTGTGACCTCTGGGGTGCCTGAAGGTGCCTCCCTGTGACCTGGGAGATTTGTGGAGCGCCCGCTGTGACCAGGGAGCTCTGAGGGAGCCTGTCGATAACCTGGGGTGGTTCAGGTATGAGGGGTTACATAGGTGCTTGTGCGAGGTCGGGAGATAACTAGGTGACTACGTATGTGTGCATCCCAAGGGATGACTAGCGGAGGAGGGTGAGAGCCAGGACTAGAGGGTGGGACTGGTAAGAAAATGGGGTCAAGAGATGCTCTGCGACCCAAGGGAGAGCGGCAGTGCCAGGAAGAACCAACTGCTCGGGAGCCAACAGGCTGAGGAGAAATAACGGGAGGTCAAGAGTCGCGCCCGGGGGACAGGCGAGTCCGTACTCCGCGCGGGTCGGCCGTCCACTGTGGAGGGAGATAGTAGCTGCACAAAGAGAGGCGCGGATCGCAAGGGATCCCGCCGAGAGCTTCGGGGAAAAGGACATGAAGCTATCGGTCAGCGCCTGTTCCCGGGTGCCCGGTCGGGTAGGGGGCAGGGCCGACCGGACGGGGCGGGGGACAGGTACTACGGCAGCGGAAGGCACAATGTTTGTCAACCCCGTACAGATGTTTGATGTCACCCTGTGCAAACCGAGGTCTGTTATCGACTGATGGAGGCTGACATGCTCGTTTCCGCTCTTGGTAGACCATTATAGATGACCCTCATCTGCCGTGGTGTCTGTCGTTAACTAGGCAAACACATAGCCGTCGCACAATGCGTGACGACGCATTTACAGTCAACTGATTTTCTCTTTTCAGCTCAGCTTTTCTTTCTCAGTTCTCCAGTCGCTGCTTTTTTGATGACTCAAGAGCTTTCCATGCAGATCTAAGGAGCGTGGTGTAACCTTTTGAAGCCTAACATCTTTCCGCGACCTTACCATATCAAAATTATCACGTTTTCGTACCCACCGACCAAGCGACAAGATGCATCAAAACTTAAAGCATTTCCACAGCTTACATAGGCTGTGCGAATTCGTTTTCGTCATCATTCCGCATAAGAGTGGAGCCTTTCCTTCCCAGCGAGATACTTCAGGAAACAAATGGAGCATTAGAGATGAAAGAACCATTCGTTTCCTCACTTATTACAACAAATGAATGATCGCTTTACGGAAAGTGCACTCGAATAGAGCAGGGGCCTGGCTCGGAGCACTAACTGTCATCTGCGGCAAAGGAGCCCAACACGGCGCAGCTCGACAGATTTATCGCACAACTCGGAAAGACGACAAACCAGCTTTGCGGTTCTGCCAAATTCAGTCAGATTTCCAAAGGCCTTTGCCGCGAATTTCTCGCTCGAACAATCGAAAAGATTATCGCCAGAGATGGGAAAATGCAAAGCTATTAGATTGGAATCTAAGCTGCGGGGCTTCGCAGCCAACCAAGCGGTAAAGGAAAATAATGGACTATGGTGGAACAAATCCATTTTAATTCGAGAATAAATGCCGGTCAGTGTTCGGCTATTGGCGGAGACGTATTATCATCGATTTAACGTCACCAGCCGCTGAGCCTCACACAGAAGCCCAGTGTGGTCCACAGAGGCCAGATTCGGAGCCGCTATTTCGAGTCGCTGAGCGATATCAATTTGGCATTGGCCGAGATTCTATCTGTGGGATAGTCCAGATAGAATGATACAAATTAGAGATATCGGATCCACGGAAATATATAAAAGGAAACATTATAAAGAACCTCTCAATCAGAATTCCTCTAACACTGCAAAACATAGATCTCCTTTCACATAAAAACAGTCAACGGTTCAGTGTTTTAAGTCCAAATACAAATACAAAAACAAATGTACCTTTCCGAATCCCGTGCAGACTGAGTGACGAAAGGCAGGCGGTTGACGGTGGTCGGTGGACGGTGGACGGTGGACTGTGGATCGACGGTGGACGGTCACGGTGGACGGTGGACGGTGGGCGGTCACGGTGGACTGTGGACAGTGGACGGTGGGTGGTAGACGGTGGACAGTGGACGGTGGACGGTGGATTGGCAGTAGACGGTGGACGGCAGACGTTGGGCGGTTGATAACAAATGGCACACAGTATTCAGTTGACGTCGGTAGACACCAAGACACATTGCCCCTATCCTCCTGACCAGGTTCGGCGAGCGGTGAGTTCAGAGAAAACCACCGTCAGCAACTTTAATCAATACAGGCCACGGGACCGAGCGAGCGGCCACGGCAGCGACGACTGACACGATCAGATGCGTGGGGCACCGAGAGGGTCGGGGAGAGAGTAAGAGAGGGTCAGAGAGAGGGTGGGAGGACGTTGGATGGGCGGGTAATGAGTGGGAATATTGGGCCAGATGGGTGTATGTGGAGGATCATTGCTATCAACGGGGTAATTTTGAGGTGGATAGGCAAAGATTGGAAGAATATCGTGATATCGGAAAAGAAAGAAAAGATGAAGAGGGATTGAAAGAATAAGAAGAAGGGAAGGAAAAGAGAAAGAAGAAAAAAATCAAATGACACAAAATGATAATAAAAACCAATTAACGTTGAGTAGACCTCACCTGGTCGAAAATCACAGATCGATCGGAAGTGGGGTGGTAGGAAACAAAGCGCATGCGATTGGAGCATCCCACGAATAGCTAATGTTTCTACCGTGAACATCTAGCAACAATTTATGTAAAAAGGCAAACCGATTACCCAGAATCAGGTCAGGCGAAGCAGCAACGACCACGATTTCTGGAACACGGATAACGATGTCGGACTTCTCTGAACAGTTGCAGGTTTTTGTCACTGACCATTTCCAGCGACTGGTCTGATTGACCAAACGTGACCAATCAGCTGACTAAAACAAACGACCCACGCTTACACAGCCGCCGAAATGCATGCCACAAAAACCGAACACGACCGTCGATCGATGGTAGATCGAAAGGAAAGGTGACCTCGCGTTACAAGCCAGTTTATGCCCTGATGTTCAAGCTAACAACATAAATGTTCAAAATAGCATGTGATATATAAAAAACGTTTCAGTTATCACGTCGTCAGACCCACTGCAAGCAGTGAACACCTACTAAAAACCTACATTCACTTTGCAGTCGGGCTGGGATATCGGTCCAAATGCACGTTCCACCCTCGCAGCGTGTAAACTGCTTATGACAGGCCACTCTGCCGAGTGCTTCGGCCCCGAGGTGGTAAAAACGTTTGAAATTCTGCCCGTCGCTTTCGCCGGTGACTTTGCGATGCATCTCACCGGGTCACTTTAGGGTCGCAGCGTCAGCTTTGGACCTTGACACAAATAGGGTATTGGCTGTGACAGCAACGAGATTGTCGAAGGAATATCAAACGACGCTCCCGACGGCTCTGCAGTTTCTGACAGTGCAGCTGTAAAAAAAATCAGAAATAGCCTGCCAGCTTCAGCAGTGCCCTATAGGATGACAGAGTGAAGATTGACGAAAAGGTTATGTGTGGTTATCTGTGTGGTTATCCCAAAGGTTATCTGTGAACTCGTACTGATTCCTTTACCTTAAAAGTAGTTTTTGAAAGTTGAAAGAAATAAGTGTCTTAAAATGCGCGCAGTGGCGACGATTTTCTTAGAAAATACAGACTGAAAGGTACTTTTCAGTTGTGCCACCTTGCGTCACATATGATGTCATCCAACGCCTAAATTCTGCAACCAAGAAATATTCCCGAACGAACGCATCGACTCATCACGTCCGCCGAACACCAAACGAAATCGGCGGCCCACGCCCGGCGCTCCGGCGAGACAGTCCGCTGTGACGTCACTGTCGGTCATGGTGAGGTCACAGTGACGTGGGCTCCCTCACTCACCGGTCGTTGCCGGTAGGTATGCGAGCAGTAGCACCATCCAGGCCGTCCTCATGCTCCGGTCCGGCCGGCGGGGCGGCATGGCCCGCCCATCAGAGCCGGCCGGTCACCGCCTGAGGGCACACAGAGAGACATACGGGGTCATTTGAGGTCACAGAGGGCACCGAGGGTCACAAAGGGTCACACGGGGTACGACCCGCCCATCAGAGCCGGTGGGTCACCGCCTGAGGGCACACAGAGGGTCACTGAGGGTCGGAGAGGGGTCAGACAAGGTCATATGGGGTCAAACAGGACACACCGAGTCACAAGAGGTCAAAAAGGTCACAAAGGGTCACATGGGTCACGGAAGTTCATTCGGGGTCATGTGGGTCACGCAGGGGCACAAATGGTCACATTAGGGTCACGCGCCCGCCATTAAAGCCGAGCCATTACTGACTGGCCGAGCCTAACATGTTAACCCAGATCTGCCCACCGTATCATTTATGATACGATGAGTCGCTCGACCGTTGCTAGGCAACCGACTTCCATCCGAAAGACGCCGAAACTTTATTTTGTGATGTGTTGTCAGTCGTGTGTACTATTTCTAGAGTGGGTAACCTTTTCTATATTTCACATATTTTCCGTGTAGCATGATTAAACAAAAACAGCTGCCCACAGAAGTCGTAATTTACCAGACCCAATAATGCCGACGTTAGTATGCTAACTAGTGCTTTCTGCCAAACTGCTCAATTTTGTGGCAGCATATAGTACCAAATGTTCAAGCTCACACACCAGGTGGTTGAATTCATTCTTGCGCCAAAGCTGGCGTGCCAGGAATGATAACAACATATTCGTATCATATATGATACGGTGGGCAGTTTCTCACATTAGCCTACACAATTACTTGCCCCTAAACCGTATGTTTTCCGGTCACCTTGGCGCAAATTCTAGGCATTCTAGTGGTGGATGACGATGTTGATGGAGGTGACGTCTTGGTAAAACCATCGGAGGCGTCCTACGACACGGATGAGTACTCTGGTGATGATGAGGATGTCAAGGAAGAACATGACCTCAACCGGCATCCTGCTCGGCAGCTGTGTGTTAGGGCCAATGTGCAAGGAAGAATAAACTTTCCGAAACGCGATTCCGAGAAAGAAGACGTCTCGGAGACCTTCAGAGATGCAAGGTTCAGCAGCGACGTTGTTGCATCCCAGCAACATAAGTCGAGAAGGTCCTTGAAGCGACATGAAAAGTGGACAAAGGGGAACACATCCATAGGAGATGGAGCACGTGCCTGAAGCCTGACGTCGAGTGCAGTGTTCACGAAGGAGGATATCAGTGTCCTTCTTGTTTATAGTGTCAGGGAACTCGAGGTCAGACTTCGATGATGTCAAAAGCGTGAAACACCATGACCTTCCGTACGTGCTCGAGGACTTCGTCATGTATAAAGGAAGGGATATCTCATTTAGAGAGGAATCGCGGTATTTATGTGACTCGAAGCCTGAAAGATGCGTACCGGTGAAGACAGGGGCAGTGCCCTTGCTTCCATTTCAGACCTTTCGTCTCTTTGCTTCAAGGACCTTCCCGAGCTCTGACGCTGGGCCAGCAACGTTTCCGCTTTACCTCGCATCTCTGAAGGTCTCCGAGACTTTTTCCGTCGGAATAGTGCCCCGGAAAGCTTTCTCTTCCTCGCACCTCGGCCCGAGCAAGTTCAGCTGCCGGGCAGGATGACGGTTGATATCTAATATCACGTTTTCTGGTGACTTCCTTACTATCACCAGAGTATTCGTACGTGTCTTAGGACGCCTCCGGTGGTTTTTACGAAGACATCATCTCCATCAACATGGTCATCCACCACTGGAATGCCTAGATTCTCTGCCAAGGTGTGTCCCAGTGACTTGAAGACAAACGTTAATTGGTAAGTTACTGTCTACTAGTGAAGAACTGGCCACGGAATTTGTATTTGATACCTTCCAGCCCAAAAAGTAAGCATTATGTCAGAAAGCACTTGTTGACATCTATATTACTATTTGAGGAGGGTGCGTCTGTCCGTTACCGAGGTCCCGACTTGGTGGTGCTTTGCGTGGACTGCAGGCCAGACCGTTGCACCTAGCCCGGTGAAATTTGCACAACTCATAGATCAAGGATGCGCGACGTGCCTTTGAGGGGTCTCAGCTCGATCGGGTCGATAGGGAGCGCGTGGTGCGTGCTCAAAAAGTGCAAATTCGCGTCATAGACTTTACATGTATAAATCGGCGTGCGAAATCGGGCGAAAATGGCTAATTTTGGCCGACACGGGTCCAGTTCCCGTGCAATATCTTGGTGACCAGGGATCCGACCGGCACGGGGAAAACAGCATCGTGTACAGAATTGAACGGGCTATTGAATGGTGTGCAATGCAGAGGATAGCACGCGCCACGTGCACCGGAGAGGGCACTTTTATTTGAAAAATTGCGGTTTTTGAGGGATTTTGGAATTAATTTTATTTTTAGGTGACCGTTAAATGGAGCGAGTTGAATCAACGCCTATTTGCAAGAGAAAGGTACCGCCTCTCATATAAAAATTATGAAAAGCTGATTGATCCAAATCAAGGTGGTGCAAATCACAGGAGAAAATGGTGTTTGTCAATTTTGTGCCACTTTATTAATCACACGGGGTTTGCTGCATAACCTGATACCTTTGGCAATTGAATATGGTACCATTGGATAGAGCATTCAATTCTGTCCAATATTCACTCTTCATTTTTGCATAATTAGCAACAGTATCCTTAAAAATGTAAATGTTCCAAACCATTACATTGTCATTTTTAGCGAAATTCATCGATGGCCCTCAAAAGACTTCACGCCAGTTTTCGAATCATTCTAAAGTAGAACGCATGATAATACGACACGGGCACCTCGATGCGATGTATCTTTTTGTTTTCTTACAAAATGCTTGGCCGTCAAAAAGCAATCGAACGAAATGGATATTTACCAACCAAATCGACACAGACCAACCCACGGGTCAAAAAATCCCCCCTTAGCGTTGCGGAGCACGCGGGTAACCCTAGTACTCACCTATAGGTATCTTTGGGTCTGATCAATTACGATTTACTGTTTCCTTGGTGTCATGATTACAAATAAACTCAAAGCTGGCCATTCTGAGACGTTTTCACAAGTAAAATTATAGGCAAATGCAAAGGCTCGTTAAGGTAACATAAAAGTGCGAAAATGCCCAGCGTATCATATATGATACGGCAATTTCCGACAAAACGAGTACAGGCAACAAAAAATGACACATGCTGGCGAGCAATGTGATTCAAAAGTACCCCAAAACCAGCGTAACAAAAAAATCCGAAAACATTTTTGTTCTGGGCAGATCTGGGTTAAAGAAAACCTGTTCATGCAATCGAATGATGTCACAACAAGGAAGCCACCATGACGAATCCCAAGTAGATACCACCATATCGTAACGTGCCGTGACAGCATGTGACGCAAAACACATCACTCACCAGCAAAAACGGCCGACAAGAAACGTCCTGTTTGACAATCCTGATCCCGTGATGACATGAAAGATGGCTTTTTCATGGTGACAAAACTGCGGATGGTTGAGCTTCACCACGCGGCCGGCACGCCATGCTGAATGATGGGGCTTGTAATTACAGGTCGTGTTTGACCTTGCCACGAACACAGGATTAGAGGCGCGCCATCGTCTTATCTAATTACGAAGTTGTGGCATCAACGAAATTATTCAAACGCTCAAGTATTGAATTAATATTTAGAGCCATTTTCAAGACTAATGCGCTGTTGCTAGGTGCATACAGTACTTACATACGGCCTTCATTTTTTTGCTAGAAAACAAAAAAATGAAGCAGGTAAACAAAGCTAACTCATGTAAGTTGCATGCGTCTAAGTAATCTGAAATGAGACAAAACAAGTCCACTAATCACTCACTGTACTACTCGTCCATAATATCCCCATTTATGCCGCTGTATCCGTGTCTAATTTTACACCGGCTGCATTTCCGGCCTCTCACTGCCGGGCCGCGCTGCGCTGGCCGGCCCGCGGGGCTCGTTTCCATTCAGCGCGCGTCCTCCCGGTTCTGATACGGCCACTAAAGTGGCAGCTCTGCGCACACAGCGGCCCAGGGCGCTGCTCAATCGAGACAAAACGGACGCACCAAACGTCAGTCGCGCACGAGCCACCGAGCTTTGAGACAGGTAGCTCGTATTGTGGATGGGGGAGCCGATCGACACAACATCCCTCGTCAATAGTTGTTCAATTAATCGCTAGCTCAATATTTAGACTACAATCAAACAGATCAAACAGTCGGCTGAATCAAAGTTCGACATTCTAATTTAGAATTGCACGATATATTGATATCATTAATCATGATGCTTCACGCTTCCACCTAAGAGCGACCTTCGCAGGCTTCCAAAAATATTAACGTTTCTACGACCACATCTCAGGTCTCCTTAGCACCACACCACTCCTCTCTTTCTCTCTCTCTCCCCTCCCGCAATCTGCACGGCGGCCATCCATCTCTCCATCTGAGCGCCAATCCGATGAGCCTCGGCGTGTGTGTGTGTGTTTGTCCGGCGCGTCTCGCCGATGGGCGTCGGTAACGACGACCGCCGCCGTCGGTAACGACGACCACCGTCATTACCGCAAACACCCCGATCGGGCACCGCCGCCGACGCGTGACGCCGCCGCGGGTCTGGAGGAGGGTCGGAGCGGCGGAGGTGGAGGGGGTGGAGGTTCCCCCGAGGGTCCGGGGAGGGTGGGGGAGGGGTGTCTGGATCCGCGCAGGGCGGCGACACGACGGCCGACTGATGGTCCCGATGATGAGGTCGAAGATGATGATGGTTATGACGCCGGCGGCGCCGATTTGAGCTAAGGAGCGTCTAAAGTGCCGCCGAGCCGGCCGGTATTGCATGCATGATGGAGTTCGGAGCGCGAAATTCAACGAAAACATTGAGCGTTATATTTCGTTTTATTTCATTTCATATCGTTTTCGCTAGAAAAGCAGGTCGACGTTAGCGATAAAACACAGCTGTCTATGAAGCGGCCAAAGCCGGATAAAGACTGATGTCAGTGTTAGCTGTCTGTCCAGCTCAGAGATGCCCGAGAGAACTTCGTTCTTGGTACTTACACTA